TATGAGTCGGAAACGACTCGACGGCACAGAACAACAACAACAATGTGGATATATATGATATATATGTGGATATCTACACATATAAATGTACGTATGTACACACACATATGTATACACACATACATACAGATGTTATATATAGGTTGTGTTTTTGTTAAGTGCCCTAGACAATCCACAGAGACTGTATGAATGAAAGTCTTAAATGCAAAACTTTTATCTTTTCTCCAAGTTCACAGAGTTTCTGGAGGCAAGCTTTTTTGTAAGAGGATGCCACTCCTACTTTCAAGCCTGTTTTATTTCGAAGATCCACAGAAAGCAGGCCTGAGGGCCACAGACCTGAAGGCCCCAAAGCCTTTTTATATACGTGGTCAAATCCAGTCTGATCACACCCTGTTGCAAACAGCAGCCACATCCACCAGTCTGGGGCTATTTCCAGGCTGGGAAGATGAGTGGAATGGAAGATTCTGTTAAGGTGTGTTTTCTGGTTTGGGGTTGAGACTAGGGTATAGCTGCTGCTCGCAATAGGGTGTGAGCTGACTGGATTTGACCTTGTGTTTAAAAATGTTTCTGACTACCAGTCTCTGGCTATTTCCAGGCTGGGAAGAGGATTAGAATGGCCGGATTCTGCTACAGTGTTAAAAAAAAAATACACACTCACACATACATACATACATTATACACACACACACACACACACACATACATACATACATTCTTTATACACACATACATACATACATACATACATTATACACACACATACATATACATATACACACATGCACACACACAGACACACCTATATGAGGCTGTAAATCCCATGGGAAGAGACTGTCCATCTTTCTACCTTGAGGTAACTGGTGGATTTGAATCACCAAGGAGATATGGTCTGTGGACCATACCATTAGGGCTCTCACATATAACTGAAACTAGTTCTCAAAATAATAGCAGATAAGAGCACCATTACTAAGTCTATTTCTCTCACAGGAACCCTGCTGGATAGAGTAGAACTACCTAGCCGCGTGCTTCTGAGGCTGTAAATCTCTGCTGTGAGAACAGACTGCCACGTCTTTCTCCTGCAAAGCCGCTCATGGGTGTGAACGGCCCATCTTTCTGTTAGCAGTTGAACATTTTAACCACCCTGCCACCTAAGCTTCTATGACACTGTGTCAATGCTGCCCTCAGGACATTTGCACGTGCCTTGCTGCTACTTGGAATGTTCCTCTCTCAGCCTTGTGCATGCTCATGTGTCTTCTCTTAATTCTGGTTTCAGCTCAGACGTCACTTCATCAGAGAGGTCTTCCTGACCACCCTGATTAAGCAGTGACCACATTAAACTCATTCACTCATTACCATTGAGTTGGAATTGACTCATAGCTGACCACCCAGTGGGTTTTCAGAAGCTGTAAATTGCAAGGTATATTTCCTATCTTTCTCCTGAGGAGCAATTGGTGGATTTGAACTCTCTGGCTTTGGGCTGGCAGCATAGATCCTTATGCATTAGATCACTAAAGCTCACAAATATCTATATACACAGAAAACTAAACAAAGCAGATATAGGGTGGAAACTTCCTAAAAATTCAGAAATAATTTGTATCTGATTGACCAGTCCTTTCATACTTTATCTAAAGCTGAAAACTGAAAATTTACTTCCAGGGTTACTCATACTGTTTGCATCTCTCTCTCTTTCACTGTACTTTGCATTAAAGTTAATGGTTTGCACATCTTCTGCCCCATCAACCTGTGATCAAGCCCCCTTGGGACTAGAGGTGACACTAATCAGCATCCTCCCTCCTGATGTTTTGCATGCAGCGGGCACTCTGCAATTACTGCCTCATTTACTCACTCTCTTCCTAGTTGCTTTTCCTGCCTCTCAGCTAAGACTATCTTCACCCCATGTAGCAGAACCATTTTTCCCGTACCCTGCTATTTTCTGGTTATCATGCTCTAGTCTCTCATTTCTAGAGCCAGGGTCCCCTGCATTCTGTGCCCCCAATCCTTGGCACTGTGTATAGCATATGCTCCAAGGAGAAGTCAAAGAGGTCAACGAACACATGTGTGTGGAGCTCAGTCTGCCCAGTGCACAGAGAAGGGGCAATGAGCACATGCTCCAGCGAGACATGAGGGAGAATGTCACACTCCTCTGAGGTTGTTGGGACTTCCTGCCCTTGGTCTCCTCACTGTCCTTCCCCTCGCCCCCAGAGTATATTGGAACGGTCCTCCCCCACGCCCACCCCCGACAACAACACTTAATTATGCCAGGCAGCCCTTGCCCTAACTTCTTTGAATTTCTGCTCAAGGTAACTGCATATTCTGTATGCTGCTTCTGATTTTTTCCTAGAAGTCCTAGGATCTCTTTTGAGATTCTTCTCCCAGCTTTAAGATTCCTTAAGCTCCTCCTTTCCTGGACTCTAACACCTTTGTAATGCCAGCTGCAGGGGTCATGGTGGTGGGGGGGCAGGCGGGCAGGGCCCACTCCTAGTGTGGGCTGAACTGTGAGCTGAGGAAAATGCTGCTTCATTCTTTCAAGAGGAGTTCTGGAGGCTGGATCACCACAAGCATAGCATTTGTCAGCCTTCTGTAGTAAGAGGAAATACTCTGGGGGGGGGGGCATGAGACCCTCACCTCTAAGAATCCCCCTCACACTCTGCTATCACCACCTCTGACAGAAGCCCAAGGGCCTGACTCTCTCATTCTGTCCTCCCTCTCCTTTCTAGAGGGCTCCCCACCAGTTCAGAGGGTTGGCTGCATCCCGACTCTCCTTGGCTTTGTGATCCTAAGTGTACAACCATTCCTCTATGCCTCACTTCCCTCACAAATGAGGGTCAGAACTGTCCCTACTTCAGAGGTACTAGCAAACTGGGGATAATCCACAATCAGCCCTTAATAAGTAATAATATCGTGATGTGTGAGGGTCTGTGATTGCTCAACCCATGCCTTTTTTAATCTACTAAAAGACAACGTCCTAAAGCCCAGGCTTTGTGTTCAAGTCAACCTTCTGCCCTCACAGTGTTTGAGGAGGGTGCTTTCTGACATCAAGGCTGAGAGTTGAGGGGAGCTGAGGGAGGGGATTGTCTGGAAGCACTCCCTTCTTTGGGAGCTCTGCAGGCTGGGGAGGGTGGACATGACACTCTGTGACACTCACCAGGGCCCTGGGCAGCTTTCCCCGGCGCCACATGTACAGTGGGAAGGCCAGGCAGCAGGCCAAAGCTCCACAGCAGAGCAGCACACCAGCGAAGCAGATGATGAGGGTCATCAGGGTAAAATCTGCAGGCCCAGAGAAGTGCATTGGTGGCTTGTCGCTGTGAGGCACCAAGGGTGGTCCCCAGAGGTCCCTCACTTCCTCCTAGAAACCAAACAATGGTGGCCCCAGAATCCCCACAGGCTACCTGCAGGCCATAGGTGCAGATGCATGTGGGTTTTTGGGCATCTTTCCACACCCTGTCCTAAAGGGTTCGCTCATCAGACATGCTGACTCAGCTTCTGTGCAAAACTCATATGATAGCAGCCAGAACAATGGGCTGGATGGCACAGCAGGTAAGAATGGAGGCTCCGGAGGCAGCCAGATCTGGCTTCAAAACTCAGCTTTACCACTTACTAGCTGTAGAACTGTGAGCAAATTAACCTTGCTGAGCCTCAGTTTCCTCTACTATGAAATGTGAAAACAAATAACAGCTACTATAGTATATTCTATTTACCAAATACTTCACTTATTTGATCCTTGAACAACCTTAAGAGGTAAGTACTATTATTATCACCTTTTTTTTACAGATTAGGATCCTGGTGCACAGAAAGGTCAAATAATTTTCCCACAGTTAGATATTTCATAAGTAGGATTTGAACCTCAAGCTCTCAACGAACTATTTCTTACATCAATGATATGTGAATATTAATATATAAAGTGAATATAAAAAGCTTTCAGGCTGCCTGTCACACAGGAAGTGCCTTACCTCACGGTGAGGTCTAAAAGACGATAAGCTTATTTTATGGTAGAAATGCAAAGAGTTATTTCAGTGTTTGCTGACTTCCTGTCCTTATGGAACTCAACATTCTCAGAGCACTTTCTGCAGGATCCATCCAGTACTGGATAGAAGAAGCTGTGTTGAGTTGTTAGTTAGGGCTTCCTCTGCATGCTAGGAGAGGTTAGTCCTTGGAGACGGACATCATGCTTGGAAAGGTGGAGGGGACGGTGAAGGTGGGGAAGACCCTCAACCAGGTGGACTGACACACAGCGACTACAGCAATGGGCTCAGTGTCACTGACCGGAGAGATGGCACAGGATAGGACAGGATTCAGATCTGTAGTTCATAGGGTAGCTATGAGTAGTACTCAACTCAAAGGCACCTAACAACAACAGCAGCTGCAAGCCCTGCTCCCCAGGGATGGTAAGGTCCTCGCAGTCAGAGCCACCCCTACCTCCTCTGCCTTCCTCTTGCCACCCCAGCCCCTGACGTAGAGCCTGGCACAGTGGTTATGGCAATGAATCAGCTTAGTCTGCTTCCTGTGGCTTGAGGAAAAGGCCCTTTGTACCCTGGGCTCAGAGGCAGAACCACAGCAGGTCAAGTAAACAGGAACCACCACAGCTGTCTAAGCATCCCCTTGGGGGTTCCTGGGAAGCACAGCTGTGCCCAAGTGGAAGTACCCTGGGATCAGAAGGTAGACCACCATATCCCAGCTGTGGGAGCCTAGAATTTGCTTACACACTCTGAGGCTTCAGTTCTATCTCCCAAGTGCGGGAAATGGGAGCCTCTCTCATAGGGCTGGTTGTGTGAGGGTAAAAGGCACATGTCTGGCACCACGGCTTACCCTGGCATCCCTGACATGCCACTTTCCAGACTGTCAGGTCTTTTCCGCCCCCGCCTCCCACTGCCTGGACGGCAGCCCTAAACCAGACTCACAGTGACTGGAGAGGGTGATGCACACCTCCTTGGACCACATGCCCCTGTTAGTCCGGGAGCCGATTAATGGTTTCACCTTGACGCAGAACTCTCCCACATCTCCAGAGACTGGGAAGCGGAACTCTTCCTCAAGGACCGTCTGACTTGCAAACTGAAAGGCATACAAGAGCAGCAATCAGCAAATTTTGCCAGTCTCCAGCAGCTTCAGCCTCTTTTCCCGAGCTTGCAAACCCTGTGACTACCAACACAGCCCAGAGGCTTAGTAATTATCACTAGTTATTTTCTATTAACAGAGAAATGAGAGCGTGCTATAGAAGGCCGGAACATTCCTGTAAGGGGCTGGAATCAACTGTGGTACAGAAAAGATGAAATCTATGGATAAATAGATTATCTATCTTCTCTCATAGGTGTCGTTGATAAAGTTACATTTCCTGGAGAAGCCTCACACTCATCAGGATAACAGAGAATACCTACCTGCAAGGGGGCCAGAAATAATAGTTAGAAAGCACCTCACCTGGTGTGCAGGAGCACAGGTGTGAAGGCTGGGGTCATTTCTCCATCCTCCTCCAGGTCACCTCCCAGGATCTGTCAGCACAGCTTCCTGCCTGCCCCATGGCACTTCCAGCCCAGCTAACAAGAGAGCCCAAGAAGCAGCATACCGTGTAGTTCCCTGGCACCTTGCGAAGAATGACTTCGTACTCTCGGAAGTTTTTGAAGACGCTTTCATACGTGACACCTGCAGGGGCCATCTTGGGCCTGAGGGGCTGGATTATCCCGACGATGACGCCATCGTCTATGTTTAGCTTCACGTTGCCAATAGTCAGAGTCACTGTGCGGGAAGAAATACCATAAGGCTGTGTGTCCACCTGCCCATGCTTTGCCTCCAGGATCAGGTTTTGCCCACCCTAAACCCTGGGCCAGAGGCTTCACAGCCTGGTTGAACATAAAGATTTCCTGGGGAACATGTTTAAAATACAGATGTCCCAGCCCACCCAAGACACGCTGAATCCGAGGCTGGTCTGGAAAGATGTTTTGAACACTCTCAGGAAATGATTCGATAGCCTGCTGGGCACTAGACTGTGGACAGGCATTTGAAAAGCCAATGACCTCGTTCACCACATACATGGAGCATAAAGCCTAAACCAAACCAGATATTACAGAGTCGATTCTGATTCCTGGCAAGGCAGAGGGCCAGCCTTTCTTCTTAGTGCCCCCGGCAGTTCAAACTGCTAACTTTCTTTTATAGCTGAGTCCGAAGCTGTTTGCACTACCCAGAGACTTACACATAGAGCATACTCAGTTCCAATTTGAGGATTAGCTTTGGGGTGTGGCCCTTCATCTCACCTCCCCAGAGAGAGACCACCGGTTTTCCCTCAGGCCCTTCCCCTGCTGTGTGCATACACTGACCTTTGGAGTGCAACCCTAAAGTCACAAGAGGGCTGTTTCAAATTCTGCCCATTTCCTGCCTTTTGCTGAGTGCTTAAGGATTCGCTTCCTCTCCTACACCCTCAGTTCCCAGGCCTGGTCCTTGTTCCTTGTGAGCCAGCTTGTCAGCTGCCTCAACTCACACTGAGACCTGTCTTCCGTAGGAGAAACAACTCTAGTTCCTTCTTAAACCTGTAACGACACTGGCTATCTTTATCTAAACCTTCTTCAAAGTACTGTTCTCTCTAGTCCTATATGGACAACTAGGTTCCCCAGCCAGGAAGCATAGTGACAGAGATGGGGAAAAGAGCCTTACAATAGAGTTCTGGCAGAAAGGGGCCCCCAAATCCCGTGATGCTGGCTGAGGGCAGAGAAAGCACCTTCGTCCACGGAGAAGCGGGTTTGGGAGGAGGTCCAGTTGGAGCGTCGGCTGCCGTCCACAGCTCGGACTCTGGCCCAATACCCGTTGCTCTGGTACAGGTCTAGGGTCTCTGCAGTGAGGTCACAGGACTGCACTAGGCTCTGGTTACAGGTGGGGATGGGCTTCCAAGAGTCTTCTCCATATCTGGGGAAGATTACAAAGAGCATAAGGAGAGAACCTTATATGTAGGGGAAGGACTTTTCATGGTGGGAGATACTGGATAGGCCAAAGGCTATTTGTTCTAACAAACATATGCTAGCAGGTCTCCCTTGGTTCTGAGACCTGTATCAATGTCTCTGTGGCCCTGAGACTGTTAGATTAGATAGTGACTAGCTCAAGGCCCAGTTCCAGGAAGATGTGCCACCCTTGGCAACACAGCCTCATTTCCCCCTTCTCTCTACTTGGAGTGGTCACAGTACCTTGCTTTCCAATTATATTGCGCATGCTTTTCCTGTTTTTCATTAAGATGGAAAAAACTTTGCGGCAAATGCAACAAAAACCTTGGCCTCTTCATTCCTGAGCTCCCAGCAGACTGCCGGGCAGTGTGTCAGCGAGCTGGTTCCAACTCAGAGACCCTACACACAACGGGACTGAACACTACGTAGTCCTGTGCCATCCTCACAATCACGCCTCCAGCCCCGTGTGGCAGTCACTATCAGTCCATCTCACTGAGGGTCTTCCTCTTTTTCACTGACCCTTGGGTAGGAGCTATGCTGCCAACTCCAAGGCCAGCAGTTCGAGTCTACCAGCTATGCTGCAGGAGAAGGATGGGCAATCTCCTCCCGTGTGATTTCCTGCCTCTGGAGGGTCAGCTGTGAGTCAGTTCTGACTTAATGGCAATGAACAACAACTATTTTAACAAGTATTTTTTTTTCCCCTCTAGGGACTGGCTTCTTCTGATAACATGCCCAAAGTATGTGAGATGAAGTATCACTATTCCAACTACCTTGTTCGTCTTCCAGTGCTATACAATGTTCTGCTGCAATTTAGAAGATATTCATGGCTAATTATTTCAGAATGGTGTGTTGATTCTACTTCTTCCTAGTCTGCCTTAGTCTGAAAGCTTTGATGAACCCTGGTCACCATTAGTGATCCCGCTGGTATCTGAAGTGCTGGTGGTAAAGCCTCCAACATGACAGGAGTACACAAGCCACGACAGTATGGAGAACAACAACTGCTGTTGTGTACCACCAAGTCGGAACCGACCCACAGCTGACCCTTTAGTGGGTTTTAAGAGGCAGTTAATCGCATGGGAGAAGACTGCCCATCCTTCTCCCGCATGGCAAGCTGACAGTGCTCGTTAATGGAAAGGTAAATGTCAGAGTCCCTTTTGGATCTCACTTCAAAAGGCAGACACATATGTTTCCTGTGCCAGAGGGGCAGAGAGGAAGACTCCACTACCCCTCCCCTCCTGCTGCTGCCCTCCCTTTTCCTTACCTCAGGAGCTCCACTTCATAGTAGGTGCTCTGGGATGAATTTTGGATGAGTTTCCAGAAGAGGATGTGGTGAAAGAATTCGGCTTCAAACCACACAGCGGGAGGGCTGGACAGTTCTGTTCCTGGGGAGAAGAGTGCCAGTGCCAGGGTTCACAGAGTCCAGCATCTCCCAGGCATCCCCAGGGATGAAGGTGATGGGGATGATGGAAATGATTAGAGAAGCTGCCACATATGCTGCTCACTGTGCGAGGTATTCTGACTTAGTTATCACAAAGGTTCTATAAGGTAGATGTTTATCCCAATTTTATCCAAGGCAAATAGGGGCTCAGAGAGGTTAAGTGGTGTGCCCAAATCCAATGGCTCCAGTAAGAGTCAGTGTGGGGATTGAGCCCACACACAAAGCCAGCTGCTCTCCTTGATTCATGGGCCTGAGCTGTGTGTGGCTCAGAGGCGCAGAGCTGGGCCTGAAGCATCCCAGGAGTGTCAGCAGTGAGGTTTCAGATGAACTAGTCCCTGGCATGCCTGGTCCCAGTCCTGCTCCAGTCCCAACCCCAGGCCTGATTCCCACCCTGGCCCCGGCCCTGGCTCCATGCTTTTCTTGGATGCCCATCCTGCTTGTTCCTCTTTGTGGCTCTCATGGGCTTGCCTGAGCTCAGTGCTTATCCCATTCTTCTCTACAGTCAGATACCAGCTTCAAGCTGGGTGAGGACAGGCAGATGACCAATTCTAGTTCTGAACTGGGCTAAGGCTGTTTTCATAAAGACGTAGCTCCCTGGTACAAAAGCCAGTACTAAGTCAAGATACTATCTGCACCTTCCTATCAACTCAACACACACCATCCACCATGGGGAATACCAACCTCAAAAGTCTCAGTCACTTGTCAGTGTGACTTTGCACAAATGACAACCTCGCTGAACCAGCTCCCTCCTTTGTGAGTATGCAACCGATATACCTATTTCTAGAATCTCACCTGTCCCCTGCAATGTACCCAGTGGGCTTCATGTCTCTCTCCCACCTTCTCATACTTTCAGTCTGAACAGAAACCTTGCTCCTGTTTCCCAGGGTTTCTAAACTCTCTTGATCGATCTCTAGAACTAACTTTTCCCCCCCTGACTTTGTTAATAGAAAACACTTCTATCCCTGCCTCTCACTTTCTTAAATGTCTTTGATCCTCAAACTGATGTCTCAATTTCAAAGCACCAAATGGAAAGTGAAAAAAAAATACAGCTAGTCTCTGTGGTGATAGCTTTATACATCACCAAGCTGGTGTCAAATGGAAACAGGTTCAGTTTCTGCTTCTGGTCCCTCTAATTCTAGCCCTGTCATCCTTTATCACGCCAGGGTTTCAGTCTCAGAGGCAGAACCTTTCCCAGGAATGCTGGCTGGGCTGGGAGCCTAAGCTGAGGGGTTGGGGTAAAAGAGGAAGGAAAAAGGGGGGAGGGAGGAGAAGCATGTGGGGAGCTTAGAAGGGAGCTCTGATGGCTTAATGTTAAGGAATTGTGCATACGGTTTGACTCTTTCTCCTACGACTCTGGGAGAAAGATCCTCAATCTCCTTCCAAACCATTCCCTGCCTCTAAAAACCCGTTGGTGGCTCAACTATGAGTTGGTTCTGACTCTATGGTACTCAACTAAAACTAGATGGAGTAAGGTATCAGGAAAGAATGATTTGTAGGCCTGGAGCCCAGGAATGGGGTGTGGAGATGGGGGTATGTAAGGGGGTATGTAAGAGAGTGAGACAGGAAAGAAGAGAGGAAGGAAAGAAGTCCTAAGGACTGGTAAATGCTCCCATCATTTAAACTAGAACTAAAAAAAAAAAACGAGAGCCACAATGTGTGTGACTTGCTGAAAGGGACAGTGCGTTGGAGAATGGCTTTTCCCTTCCCAATCCCCTCTCCGGGACAAAACAGACCTCAGCCTCTTCAAGTTCACAACAGGTCTCTTTCGGGATGCAGGACTGGAGAAAATGGGGAGACCCAGGGAGGGAGGCAGCCCTATCTTTTAGAAAGTTGGACAAAACCGCGCTTCTCTATGAGACAAAAGCAAACCCACTGCCATCAAGAAAACTCCAACTCATGGCGCTCCTCCACTGGGTTACACAGCTGTGAATCTTTAGAGGGGACTGCTTATCTTTTTCCCACGGAAAAACGAGGGGATACAAGCCGCGACCTTTCAATAAGCAGACCAATATGCAAAGCATTACGCAACCAGGGCGCTATGGGAATGTAGACCTTTAAAGCAGGAGAAACTGGCGATGGGTGGTGGGGGTCCAAGACCAGGCTGGCCACTCACCAGCAGGGCGGCGGAGACCAGGCTGGGCGGCCGGGGGTCTGGACTCTTACCGTGGGCGTCTGAGCAGGGGCACAGGCTGAGGACGGCCGCCAGCGGCACGAGGAAGCGCGGCAACATTCTGGGCGCGCACCATCGTCCGGAGAATGAGCCAGTCCGCGCTCCACCGGCTGAGTGAGGCTGAAACTCCTGCGAAGCCTTCTCCCTGCCCGCCGGGCTGACGTCACTGGGCGGGGCGTCCGGAGGCTCTGCTCCCGCGCCCGCGAGGTGGGACTGCTGCGGCTGTGGCCAGGGCTGGGTCGGGGTTCGGGGTGGCCGGGGCCTCTCGGGTCAACTCTCCCCTTCACCTGTCCTCTTGCTTTCGGTACAGCAGAACTGGGGCAGTCCAGGGCGCCTGGCGGGCTTTTTGTGGGGCCGGATGGGGGCAGGGGTGGGCAGACGTCGGGCTCTTTGAAATGCTAAAGTGCGGGGGCTGAGTTGCTTTGGGGTTTGAGCTGTGACCACGACTTCGCTTGGGGTCTGGTGAGGCGGTTGTCCGAGGGCTCCTCGAAGGCCTCAGGCACTCAGCAGACGAGCACAAGGACGCGTGAATGCATTTGATGACGCCCACAGAAAAGCACAAACCGTGGAGTAGGAAACAACTCCTAGCTGAACCTCGCGTGTTTTCTGAAGCTGTCGATGGCTCTCTAGGAGGTGGCCTATCTTTTCCGCTTTTCCTGCGGAGTCTCTGGTGGATTCTCGCTGCCTTTGGTTTAGCAGCGGCTCAAAATTGTTGTAAAGTGTTCAGAGTTTTGGCGAAAATCTATTGCTACATCTCCCTCTCACCCCCCACCTCCAGCTGCTTTCCTCAGCACTTTATCAATTTTAGTTATGTTCACTGTGTTGTTTTTTTTTTTAAACCCAAAATTTTATTTTATACTTGTTTACTTACCAAGTCACATACACTGGTTTTTACTCCAAATTTTTCCCATTTCCTTTACTCACCATTCTCTCTCCACCCATCAAATTGTGCGACCTTATAATTTGCCTCCTGCCCATTCACATCCCTTTGCTCCCCTCCCCCCTTCTTGTATCGTCATACACGTTTTACTAGTTATCTTTCTTTGATCTTTTTCAGTATTTGTCCTTTTGGGACTGAGTTAGTTCAGTTAATATAATGTTTCCCAGTCCCTCCCAAGTTAGGTAGTAAGAAAAATCTATTACTATTTTTAAAATAAAAACTGTCCCTACAATTAGTTGTAACGACAAAAATATTTTTCATAAACCCAGTTTTCACCTGTCAGTGTACCTGCAAAGCTAAAATCCTGTGCTGATAGAATTTTCGAACCTTCCAATGAGCTGTGACCAGAGCGGCTGTTTTAGCCAATTGCAATGAGTCTTTGAATCATGTGGTTTCGTCTTTATTTAAGCACGCTGTTTTCATTGCTGCTGCTGTTTGTCCAGTGGCTCCTTAGGTCAAATTTTCTAGTGTTTACTTACTGTGGTAATGGTATTTATGAAGTGATTGTTTTATTGGTTTCTCCCCTTAAAGTAATTTAAGGGAAATGAGAACAATTTTAAAAGATTTGGCTTATTTACTAATAATTTTATAACAATGTAGGAATATTTTGTGAAACAATTTTATTGTTCTTATAATCTGGGAAATATGAAGTTTGATCAGTTTGCAACTCTTTCACATATTTAAAGTTGACACTAAGCATTCTTAAAGATGCTAAGGTTTGCTGCAAGAGGAGGTCCTTGGTGGCAGATGGAAGGGGAACACCGGGAGCTGACACCAAGCTGGCAATGTTACTGGCACCCCCTGCAGCTTTTGAGAGGGAAATGTGCGTGGCATTAGCATTGTGCCTTTGGTGTGGGAGTTAGTAAGGCATCAATTGTGTGGTTTGTAGATATAAATACTGTTTAAATATTTTCAGAGTGGAAATTTCTCTGCCCAGTGTCCTGGCCCCAGGGTGTGCCAAATCGTCTGGGGGTGGGTGTTTGAGGTTCCTGTTCTGTATCTGAGTGTTTCCACTTGGACAAAAAAGATTTCCTTTTTTGATGGTAGTCAGTGAAGGCCAGTACAACAGCTAGATGTCTGGTGGAGAAAGGTATCTACAAGCCCAGCATACCTTCAGACCAGCTGGGAGGTAGAATCCTGATTTTCTTTATTAAATATGTAAAATTTTGTGTTTTGGGGTTTTGGTGGTTTTTTTTTTTTTTTCCTTCTTTACACTCTCTGTTGCTCAACTGGGAGATAAAGATGAGTGGAGAACCCAGGCATGACACAAAAGGGCGTGGCTGCCCTCTGAAATGGCACTCATTGACCTTTCAGGAAGATGCCACTTTCTGCATTTGTCTTTTCATTTCTGTTGAGCTGTGAGAGTGTAAAAGTCTTAGCTCCTCATTTTGAAGGAAGCTCGGGATTCATTTATTCATTCAGCAAAAATCACACTCGTTATGAGCTGAGGGTGGTGTGGTTCAGTAGTAGAGTTCTCTCACCTTCCATGCTGGAGACCCGATTCTGTTCCATATGCAGTAGTCACCTGTCTTGTCAGAGTTGACTTGCTTGTTGCTATGACCCTGAACAGGTTTAGACTAAGAGGAGGAAGAAAGGCCTAGTGTCTTAGTGATCTAATGTTGCTGTAACAGAAATACCACAGGTAGGTGGTTTAACAAACAGTCATTTAATTTCTCATCATGTAGGAAGCAAGGAGCCTGAATTTAGGGTGCTGGCTTTAGGGCAAAGGTATTCTCCCTCTTTCAGCTCTGGAGGAAGGTCTTTCTTTGTGTCCTTTGAGCGTCTGCTCCCAGGGGATCCTCCTGTGACCCAGCATCTCTTCTCCTCCACCTCATCCTAGTTTGAGAGATGGATTCTCCTTTATTTCTTAAAAAAGATTGATTCCTCGTGTGTCCTACACTAATCCTGCTTCATGAACATAGCAAAGACAATCCATTCCTAAATGTGATTATAGCCAAAAGATTTACTATACGTATTTTGGGGAGACACAATTCAGTAACACCTGGAAATTCTTCTTCCAAAAGTTGGTCAGTGAAGAAAGATCCTGTGGATCACAATGGTCTGATCTGGTAGTACATGGGGTCACCATGAGTAGCAATAACACTATGGGTAAGATGCTGGGGGATAAAATGATCAAACAAGATCCTGGCTCCCAAGAAACACAATTTAACTGGTGGAATAAAGTGAAAGAGATGCTCTGGTCAGATACAAAGGCTGTTGTGGAGCGCACTTTGGGTGGAGGCTCGAGCAGGATTCCTGGAGGATGTGACATCTAAGCTGTGACTTGTAAAACCAGTGGAAGGTAGCTCAGTGGAGTGGATAAATAAAATCTTCCAGGTAGAAGGAAATGCATACTTGGAGATAAGGTAGTGTGGCATTTGTGAAGACTGCTATAAAATAAGGATTGAACCTCTACAGTTGCTAATTGGAAGACGCACTGTTCAAATCCTCCAGCTGCTCCACAGAAGACGGATGAACAATCTCTTCCTATGCCTGTCCTCTGGAAATCCACTGTAGGATCAGCTATGAATTGGTTCTCACTCCATAGTGCCGAACAACATTATTTTACAGATGAAGAAATCACCACGGCTGACAGGGTAATGTGGTTCCTTGCACAGGGCAGCCAGAGTTTCAATGTCAGTATTCCAGTGTCTTCTGCTGCTTGCCTCAGAGGAGGCATCCATCCGGAGTAAGAGTCGTGTCAGGCATATTATTTCCATCTTTAATTATTTTTTAAAAGGAAATGAACATTCTCAGTGCTTTTAAAATCTACCCTAATAGTTAATGATTTCTGAAATTCACACCAGTACTGAGACAAATAAGGAACCCTGGCGGTACAGTGCTTAAGTGTTTGAATGCTGAGATCATTCATCAGCCTCACCATGAAGATGGGGCAATCTGCTCCTGCAAAGATTATGGTCTTGGGAGCCTCACGATGCAGTGTTATCTGTCTTGTGAAGCCGCTGTGAATCAGGAAGGACTCATCAGCAATAAATTTTTTTTTTCTGGGAAATGTGTGCCAGACCAGAAACCTTGGTGATGCAGTGGTTAAAGCACTCAACTGCTAGCCAAGGAGTTAGCAGTTTGAACCTCTATGTGGGCAACTGACCTCCATAAAGATTCTCAGCCTTGGAAACCACGTGAGGTTAGTTCTGCTTTGCCCTACTTGGTTTTTGAGTTAGAGTAGACTCAAGACCAGTAGGTCTGGCTTCTTGTTTTTTGGGGACAGATGAGAGAAGATAGATTTTGTACAATGTTGTTGTTGTATGTGCTGCAGAATCACTTGCGACTCATAGTGACCCTATGTACAACAGCCCTAAACTCTGCTCTGTCCTGTGCCAATCGCTCCGTCTCCGATACACCCATCCCGATTACCCCAGTCACTGAATCAATCCACCTCATGGAGGGCCTTCCGTTCCTGCGCTGTCCTTCCACCCTATCAAACATGATATCCCTCTCCAAGGACCTGTCCCTCCTTACAACATGTCCAAAGTATGTTAGACGGAGCCTCAGAATCCTTGCCTCCAGGGAGCTGCCCGGTTTAACGCTTTTCAGGATGAATCTGTTTGTTTTCCTAGCAGTCCATGCTACCCTCAATACTCTTCTCCAGCACCACAGCTCAAAGGCATCAATTCTCCTTCTATCCTCCTTGGTCACTGTCCAACTCTCTGATGCATAACAAGGGATAGCAAAGACCATGGTCTGTATCAGAGGCACTTTAGTCCCCAGAGAGACGCCATTGCTCTTCAGTACTTTGGAGAGGTCCGTAACAATAGACTTTCCCATGGCAATACACCTTTTAATTTCCTGATTACTGGTGCCGAGAGTGTTGACTGTGGAGCCAAGCAAACTAAAGCTGTGAACTATCTCAGTCTTTTCACCATCCATCCTGATGCTGCCAATTGGTCCAGTGGTGAGAATCTTTGTCTTCTTGACATAGAGCCTCAATCCATATTAGCGGCTGCAGTCCTTGACCCTCTGCAGCAAGCGCATCAGGTCCTCCTCAGTTCCAGCAAGCAGAGTTGTGTCATCTGCATAACGCAGATTGTTGATGAATCTTCCACCAATCCTGACACACTTTTCCTCATAGAGCCCAGCCTCCCGGATAATTTGTTCTGCA